CTTGGGCCCCCTCCACTCATGTTGGAGATCTGGATGGATTTTCTTGCTTCTGGCTTCAGCCTGGCCTGGCCATGGCCTTTGCAGCCATTTGGGGAAAATCTTGATCTCTGTCTTTCCCTCCTTCTCTGTCAGTCTTTCAAATAAATATTCTTTTTTTAAAAAAGCCTTGCACACTCTAAACTATAAAAAAATAGTTGGAATCACTTAAGTAGTGAACAGCAGGCTGACATTGTGACATCGCAGGTAAAACCTCTGCCTACAATACTGGCATCCCATGTCAGCACAGTTCACATCCAGGCTGCTCTACTTCCAACCTAGGTCCCTGCAAATGGCCTGGAAAAGTCAGCAGAAAATTACTTAATGTTCAGGCCTATGCCACCCATGTGGGAGACCTGGATGAAGCTCCTGGCTCCACACCTAGTCATTAACACTTAGGAGTTGGCAGCCATTCTACTAGCTTTTGTCAGGTTATGAACACCTCAGGGTTCTGATTTTTGTATCCCCCAGAAAGGAGTGGAGAAAAGAGACAAGGACCAACCTCAACAGAGACAGGTTGCTTTATTGAAGCACAGAGGGGCGGCAGTCTGTTCTTGCAAAGAGACTGCACACAGGGCACATGTAGGGCTGGGCTTTTAGCTGGTTGTCAAGGGAAGTTGCCACTGGTGGGAGAGAGAACTTGCTTCCAGAAGCCTTATAGGCCTTTCGCTTATCCTGTTTAGCAAGCTGCTTTGTAAGCTGTTTCGCAAGGGGATATGAGAGGTCATGAGTGGCTCTCCCACAGGTATGGGGGGGGGGTCTCTTCAGGAGGAAGGAAGTGGGGGAGGGTGACATTCTTGTGAGCCTTATTGTCCTTTAGATTCTGCCTTGAGTTACAGGATCCAAGTAGGAGTCATGCAGCCGACCAAGTGACTGTGATGGGGCCCCTGCACCCATGTGGGAGACCCGGAGGAAGCTCCTGGCTCCTGGCCTCGGATCAGTTCAGCTCTGGCCGTTGTGGTCATCTGGGGAGTGAACCAGTGGATGGAAGGTCTCTTTCTCTCTGGCTCAATCTCTCTCTGTAACTGTGTCTTTCAAATAAATAAAGTAAATCTTAAAAAAAGAGAGAGAATGAAAGAGTATTCTTCCTCTCCCTCATACGTCACTGTCATTCTGCTTTACAAACTAATAAATCTTAATAAGAAAATAGTTTCTGGGTGATACTGTATCCTTTGTTAATTTAATAAAACTAGCTTTTCAGTGCTGTGCAACATTACTTTCTTTTTAAAGATTTATTTATTTGAAAGTCAGAGATACACAGAGAGAGAGAGAGGTCTTCCGTCCGATGGTTCACTCCCCAACTGGCCGCAACGAGTGCCACTCTCAAGAAGGGCTTTGGCCAATCCACCAGACTAACATTCCATAGAGATTCTGATAGTCCTCTGGGGTACCAGGTGAGAGGAAGGAGGGATCATCATACATATAAAAGTAAAGTCCCTAATTTTCTTGGCATTTGGGGATAAGGTGGAGGATGCTGATACTAAATGTCTAGAACCTTCTCCTTTCTTATCAATGACTCCCCTGGCATGGTGGGCCCAGGGCCAGCCAGCTGAGGTTCATGAGAAGTGGCTGTGAGGAGTAAACCACTCCCAATTACTCACTGACTCCCAGGACATTGTTAGCTCCAGGTCAGTAAGTGAAAGCCTGACAGACTGTAGGAAGTAAGCTTAGCTGAGAAAGGCTCAGCAGCATCCCACACGTCCGCAGCAGGTTAACACCAGGCCAGAACAGACCTCTGACGCCCATGTGCTCCCATGGCTAGTGAGCAGCACTCCGCTGCTCATCTCTCTCTTTCTTTCTTCCTTTCTTTTTTTTTTTTTTCCAAGAGGCTTTCTCCATTTCTTTGGGAAAGGAAAACAAAGTCTTCCCGTCACATATGGTAGAGATATATATTTACGTAATTTCTTTTGTGGATATCTTGAAGCTGAGACTGTCATATTTTCTATTTGTTTTTCCTACTAATGCCTTCTCTTCTCCCAGGCCCTGTGGCCCAGGCCCAGGTTCTGGGGCAAGTGCAGTGAAGGGTGAAGGCAGTGGTCGCCAGGGCGGCCTCCTCCCCAGCCCAGAGACATGGTGAGGACCACCCAGCAGGGGTTGTGCACGACTAAGAGGCCACGTGCAGGGGCATTTCTGTCTTTGTGGGGGATTTACAGCGCATTAAACAGTCACCAGTCATGGGAGGAGATTGGAGAGAGTGCCACTGGACACAGGAGGACCCACAGCGGTGGCCGAGACCCCCAGAGGGGCTGGGACAACCTCATGGCACAGCAGGCCTGCCACCTCCCTCTCCAACAAGGGGTGCCAAGAAGGGGGGCACCACTCTCCTGCTGCCTGGGCCCTCAACACTGCTCACTCTGCCCTCCCCCATTCCCTCCGGAGAGGGAAGGCCACTGAGATAGGGCTGGAGAGTGCTGCGCGGGGGGGGGGGGGGGGGGGGGCCTCAGGGAAGAGCCTGGTCGCAGCTGCTTTGAGAACTTCTTTGGGGGGCACACAGGGAAGAGCAATGGGCGGGAGGGGGACCGTGGGGACCCGGGCTCCCACAGGGCTTTTGTCGGAAGGCCAAGTGCCCAGGCGGTGGATCAGATCTAAATGGACTCAATGTGCTCGAGGCGGGAGGGGGTCCAGGCTTTCTTCTCATCGCCCTGTTGCGGGGTGGGCGTGCTGGCGCCCCCCGCGGCCCCGCGCCCACGCAGCCGCCGCTGCAGCTGCTGATTGCTCTGGTACATCTCCATGTAGGTCAGTTGCAGCTGTCTCTGGTACTCGCTGACCTCCTCCGCCTCCTCCAGCCACACACGGCGCCCCTCGGCGAAGCTGGCGCCCTGGCGCTCCCGGGCGCAACGCTCGGCAGCCGCCCCACCTCCCGCCGCAGGGCCCGCATCCCATTCTCCCTGCCGGCATCCGCCTTCCGATCCACGGAGGCCAGGGAGACGGGGGCGGCCACTCTGACCTGACTGAGGAGGTTGGCCTCGTCGCTCTCGCAAGTGGCCAGCGCCTCGGGGGCGGCAGCCTGCCGCTACAGACCTGCCGCAGTGCGGCCAGCTTCTGCTCCCACGCCTTCTGCCGTTCCTCCAGGACCCGGGCTGCGGCCGCCTCGCTCTGCTCCAGGCTTCGCTGCCACCTCCTACTCCTCCCACAGCCACTCTCCAGCTCCTGGCTCACAGCACTGGGAGAAGGCAGTGAGCAGGCTTCAGATGGCAGGCCTCCCCCACCACCCTCTGATCCCAGGTGACCTGGCCTCCCCATGGATCGCAACGACTCACTCTTGCTGGAGGGCCACCTGCCCTCGGAGGTCCCCAGGTGTCGTTCCCCGTCTTCGTGGAGGAACGACACTAAACCCTGCCTAGGCTTCATATCCGAGTCACGGCACCATTATGTTGCTCCCCGTCTTCGTGGAGGAACGACACAGGACCCTGCGCTGTTCTTTTGTCTGCTCGGCCCTCCCCGGGTTTGCTGCTGGTTCTTCCCGGGTTGGCTACTGTCCCTTCCACCTCCGTGGAAGGGCGGTTCCCCCTGGCCACTTTCCCCACTTCCGCGGGGGAGCGGCACACCGCCGGCCGGCTCTCTCGGGGGCTGCACAGGTGTTCCCCTTAGATGTTCCCCTTAGATGTTCCTGGTGCATGCCGTCTCTCTCCTCCTTTATAGTCCTGCTCCGCCAATCCTAACTCGGCTGCCCACACGCCGAGTACGCTGCTCTCCTCCAATCAGGAGCAGGTCCTACAGTTTGTTGGTTGAACTGGAGGCAGCTGTGTAGAAGCTGTTTCTCCCTTCTCAGCGCCATATTGTGGGAGAGCAGATGCATAGAATAAGTCTTAATTCCAGTAACTTAGTCTAGTCCGAGTTGCTCCCACACCCAGGTCCAGGTAGCCCGACCCCCCACTGCTGCTGCCGTTCCCATAGCTGGCAGTGTCAATGCGGTCAATGTGGCTGGTGGAGCACTGAGGGGTGCCAGGTGCTGGCTATAGCTGGACCTGTAGGTGGGCAGGTTTGTGAGTGAGCTCCGGCCTGAGTCTGAGAGGCCACCCCCACTCCCACTCGCTGGGGTCATGGTCCGAGACTTGTCCAGTCCACCCTTGAGGCCTCCAGGGCCCTGTCATCCATCAGGGGTCCCATTGGTCTGTGGGGGACACAAGTTCTGCATGGAGTGGAAATTCTTGGGTACAACAGGCTTCAAGGCAGATGGCCAAACTAGAGGCTCTGAGCACTGGTCTAGCTTGCCAGAGGTGGCCAGGAGCTTGGGTGGGTGGCTGGGCTCACGGTACTGTGACAGGGCATTGTCGCTCCCACCGCTGCTGCTGCTGCCACCGCTGCTACCCACCACATTGCCACAGACATCAGTGTGGTCACTGCCCCTCAGCTCGCCATTGAGGTAGAGGGAGTTGGCAAGAGCCTTGTCTTCTGAGGGTAAGTGGCCTGGCCTCTCCCTGCCAGCCCCGCTAACGCTGCCACTGCCACGGGGAGCAGGGAAACCGCCCTGGCTGCTGCCACCCCCTGTGCGGGTGCCCACGCTCTGCATGGCGAACTCCTGGGCATGGGCCACCCCACTGCCCACACTGCTCATGGCCGTGGTGCAAAGGCCAGAGGATCCTCAAGCCTGGGCCCCTCAGAGGCTCAGTCTGCAGGGGCCACGTGCATCCCTCTTGCAGTCAGGGCTCGGCCCGAACCAGCCGTGCGACTTTGCAGGAGCCAGCTGAGCCATCCTGGCCTGCGTTGTTCTTCTTGAGATGGGAGGAACAAAGCACCTACCTCGCGGAGCTGCCACGTGCCAGGCGCCCCAAGATGGTGGGCCACATTCTTTCAAAACATTTGTTTAGTGTAGAAAAGATAAACTCCGGATGAGGAGAACTACACAGAAACAGTAGGATGGGGAGAAGACCTTTGGGTTTGAAACTGGACCACTGTGCTCCAAGGGTGGATCTAAAGTACGTGTGAGCTGGGGGCAAGTTGTCTGTGGTCTTTATTATAAAATGGGAATCTTAACATCTGCTCCTCAGGGCTGCAAGGATCAAGTGCCCCAGGTGTGTGTGGTACCTTGTACACGGCAGGGGCAGAGTAGGCACACTGTGAGTATTCAGGCCTGTGCTCGCTTCCTGGCATGCCACTTAGAGCTCCCACCCCAGGACTCACTCTGCTGGATTCCTCCATCCATGGTCGGAGGAGTAGGAGAACCGAGTTCAGCTGTGAGCTTGATAGTTTGCTTTAATTCATATTCCATCTTGTGTTTCAGAGGGCGTCATTTTAAAAGAGAAAAGCTTCCAGGGTGTTTTGGAGTTTAAGAATGTGCGTTTTGCCTATCCGGCTCGCCCGGAGGTGCCCATATTTCAGGATTTCAGCCTGCCCATCCCAGCCGGATCTGTCACAGCCCTGGTTGGCTCAAGAGACTCTGGCAAATCAACAGTGGTTTCCCTCCTACTGAAGCTGTACGACCCCATTTCTGGTAAGTGGTTCACCCAGGGGTGGGGCAGAGGCACTTTCCTCCACCTGTGCAAATCCAGACGCATGGAGTCATCACCTGTCTTAAAATGGAAGTTTCCCTCTGGAATCACTGTCTCGATTCACTGTTTATGTGCCAGGAAATCTGAGGTAAAAGAAAATATCTAGTCGGGTGGATGCAAATGAAGTCAAAATATTGAGTCTGGAATCCCTTCGTCACGTTGACTACATCAAGAATGGAGCTTATACTTGTATTTCTGCCGTGTGTACTCTGTGGAGCACTTGTGCTTTTAATCAAAGAGTTGAAGTTTTTGCCAGTTTACAGAAGTGCCCAGCTGGCTTGTATGATTCCACAGCACCAGGAAGGCAAGACATTTCTTATGCTGTCACTGTTGTCCTCACCAAGCACTGTTGAACACCTTCATTGTATGGAACTAAACCCGCTAGTGACATCAGAGAGTTAGCACATGATTTTTTAAAAGCTCTGCCACCTGGGACTGATCTTTAAAAGCCGAGTCCAGAATTTTCCCACTGGATTCTTTCTGTGTTTACCCTGATCACCGACCCTGTGACACCCCGTGACTCTTTGCTTTCCTCTCTACAAGGAGCTATCAGTCTCCATGACCATGACATCCGTCAGCTAAATCCAGGCTGGCTGAGGTCCAAGATTGGGACAGTGAGTCAGGTAAGAAAAGAAGTCTTTATTTTTGTTTCACTTTTTAAAAAAAATTAGCTTTTGTCATTTGCTATTTCCTTGGCTTTGAATCTCTTGAGAGAGAAGAAATGGAAGCTTTCCAGATATATTTAACTAATTTCACATGGCAGGTTGTTTAGGTTTGTAATGGGCTGTGATTTCCTGAAGACTTCAAGCACTTAACCAGTTGAAGCACTGACTTTGTATCCAAACCCTGGGGCTGACATTACCTTGTAATGCAGAGGAAATGGTAGAAGCTTCTGTTGACTCATCCTCAGTTCCCATCTTCATTACCAGCCCCAGTCTACTGTTTCAGGGATAAAGACTATGGCACGAACCAGAGTCCCCTTGGGAGGAAACTGCAGATTGCAAAGTGAAATATGAATATAATGTGCTCTCATTAATGAGCTGTTTTCATAAGGCCATTTGGAGCAGGAACATTTGCCATGCCTGTTTTTACTGCTATTCCCAAGCTATGTGCACAGCAGACAAACCTGAACCGCACCTCCCTGTGAGCCTCTCCCTGTAATGAGCTCCCCTCCCCCCATGCCCTACCCATACCCTCCTCCTGACCTCACTCCCCTGGGTCAGGCTCAGACGGGGCTGTGAGGGGAGTACTCAGCCATGTAAGATCAGATCATATGATTATGAATAGGGAAAAGAAGTGAGAAGTTTGCCTTCTTTTGAGGGCTACTCCACAGAGCTCTGTAAAAATGTGTTCCCATCTGGTTTGTGTGTGTTTCAAAAAGTAATGGGTGAGGATGCATTCCTCCTTTGTCCTTAGTGGAAGGCAGGTCTCACATTTACTGTGATGGTCCTCCCTGGCACATGCCATGTGGGCATTTGCCACAGAGTCTCATTTCTCCTGTTTATGATAAAATTTGAGCCTTATTATTATTATTATTATTATTTGAAAGGCAGAGTTACAGAGGGAAAAAGGAAGAGACAGAGAGAGAGAGAGGAATTTCATCTGCTCGTTCACTCACCAAATGGCAGCAACATCCAGGGCTGGGCCAGGCCAAAGCCAGGAGCCAGGAGCTTCTTCCAGATCTCCCACGTGAGTGCAGGGGCCCAATCACTTGGGCTGTCCTTCACTGCTTTCCCAGGTGCATTAGCAGGGAGCTGGATCAGAAGTGGAGCAGCCAGGACAGGAACCAGCACCTATATGGGATGCCAGCATTGCAGGCGGTGACTTTACTTGCTTTGCCACAGCACTGTCCCACCCCCCCCCCCGTTTTTTTTAAGATTATTTATTTGAAAGGCAGAGTTAGAGATCTTCCATGCAGTGGTTCATTCCCCAGATGGTCACATGGCCAGTGCTGCGCTAGGCTGAAGCCAGGAGCCCAGCTCTCCCAATTGGGTGGCAGGAACTCAAGCACTTGGGCCATCTTGTGCTGCATTCCCAGGTGCATTAGCAGTGAGCTGGATCAGAAGTAGAGCAGCTGGACCAATGCCCATAGGGGATGCCTGCATCACAGGTGGTGGCTTAACCTACAGCACCACAATACTGGCCTCAAAATTGGAGCTTTTAAAAAGTATACTGGGTTGGGGCTGGCGCTGTGGCACAGCGGGTAATGCCCTGGCCTGAAGTGCCAGCATCCCATATGGGTGCCGGTTCTAGTCCAGGCTGCTCCACTTCCGATCCAGCTCTCTGCTATGGCCTGGGAAAGCAGTAGAAGATGGACCAGGTGCTTGGGCTCCTGCACCCATGTGGGAGACTCAGAAAAAGCTCCTGGCTCCTGGCTTTGGATTGGCGCTATCTGGGGAGTGAAGCATCAGGCGGAAGACCTTTCTCTCTCTGCCTCTCCTTTCTCTGTGGAACTCTGACTTTCAAGTACATAAATAAATCTTTAAAAAAGAAAATATACTGGGTGAATTTATGGAGAATGAGGAAGTAGAACCAAGAAAATCTGTTTTCTTTGGGAGCTCCTGAGTAATTTCATAGATGTAAGTATTATGCTAAGCCCCACTGCACTTATTAGGCGTGTTTGTTTGCTTTTTTAATTTGAAAGGCACCGGTGCCGTGGCTCACTAGGCTAATCCTCCGCCTTGCAGCGCCGGCACACGGGGTTCTAGTCCCGGTTGGGGCACCAGATTCTGTCCTGATTGCCCCTCTTCCAGGCCAGCTCTCTGCTGTGGCCAGGGAGTGCAGTGGAGGATGGCCCAAGTGCTTGGGCCCTGCACCCCATGGGATACCAGGATAAGCACCTGTCTCCTGCCTTCGGATCAGCGTGGTGCGCCAGCCGCAGCGCGCCAGCCGCAGCGGCCATTGGAGGGTGAACCAACGGCAAAAGGAAGACCTTTCTGTCTCTTTCTCTCTCTCACTGTCTACTCTGCCTATCAAAAAAAAAAAAAAAGGCAGAGCAACAGAGTGACAGGGAGAGACAGAGAGAGATCTTCAATCCACTGGTTTACTTCCCAAATGCCCACAGCAGCCTGGTTTACACTAGGCAAAGCTAGCAGCCAGAATCTCCATCTGGGTCTCCACATGCGTTGGAAGGACCCAAACACTTGGGCTGACATCCTTTGACTTTCCAGGCACATTAGCAGGAGCTGGACTGGAAGTGGAGCAGCCAGGACTCAAACCAGCACTCACATGTGGGGTGTTGCAGGTGACATGTTGGTGTACGTGGCAGCCCAGTCTGCTGTGCCCCAATGCTGGACCTGTCTGAAGTCTGTTTTTTTCTTTCAATTTTTATTCTTATTTATTTGAAAGAAAGATATCATCTGCTATTTCACTCCCCAAATTCCCACAACAGCTAGGACTGGGCCAGGCCAAAGCCAGGACCTGGGAATGCAATCTGTATGTATGTTGGGATCCAGGTACTTGGGTGATGACCTGCTGCTTTCCATGGTATGCATCAGCAGAACGTTTGAATTGGGAGCAGAGCCTGAACTCGAGCCCAGGGCACTCTGATATGGAATGTGGGTCTAATGTGGGTATTAACATACCTGGGAAAGTGGTGATACCACTGGGCCAAACACTGACCCCTGAAGTCTCTTTTGAATTTCCTGGAAATTTCTTTTCTCCAATTTGAAGGAGCCAATTTTGTTTTCTTACTCCATCACCGAGAACATTGCTTATGGTGCCGATAACCCATCCTCAGTGACTGCTGCGCAGGTGGAGAGAGTGGCTGCACTGGCCAACGCAGTCACGTTCATTCAGAATTTCCCCCAGGGGTTCGACACTGTGGTCGGAGAAAAGGGTGTTCTCCTTTCAGGTGGGTTCTCCTACTGTTCTGTAGCAAATTTCTGTGCTCCAAGAAACTCTCCAATGATTTCCAGACTGCATTAATATTTTCTAATTAGGATTTGCTCTTACAGTTTATGAAAAGAGCCTCACCACTTTCTGAAATGTCTGACGTGTGGATAATTTCAGTTTTATTTCCTGCTTCAAAGGTGTTCCAGAAATTCCACTGAGTAGTAGTTAACCTCAGCAGGCTTGTTTTCCTTTTTAAAAATGATTTATTTATTTGTTCATTTGAGAGGCAGAGTGAGAGAAAAAACATGCAGGTTGCTTCTGTTAACCAAGATGAAGAGAGCAGAGGTTCTTGTCTTCATGCAGGAAAGAATTTGGGCATGAGACAGAGGAGTAGCTGTAAGCAAGGAAGCAGCTGTAGTGGGGAAGGGCATGCATCAGAATGGATGGGCACTCTGCAGAAGGAATCAGAGAGGGTGACTAGCCATGCACACTGGGGTAAGCAAGGTTACATATTTTATCTTTTTTTTTAAGATTTATTTATTTGAAAGGCAGAATTGAAGAGAGGCAGAGGCAGAAAGAGAGAGAGAGAATCTTCCATCCACTGGTTCACTTTCTAGATAGCCACAATGGCTGGAGCTGCAGCAGTCTGAAGCCAGGTGCCAGAAGCTTCCTGCAGGTCTCCCATGTCGGCTCAGGGGCCCAAGTACCTGGGCCATCTTCCACTGCCTTCCCAGGCCATAGCAGAGAGCTGGATTGGAAGTGGAGCAGCCAAGACTCAAATCAGTGCCCACATGGGATGCCGGCACTGCAGGTGGCACTATGCCTCAGTGCTGGCCCATGAAGGTTACATATTTTAATGGAGAGAATACACCTGCCAGGCCAGGTAGGCAGGCAGGCATCTGAGGAGATACTGAGAGTCAGTCTGGATTCAATCTGGGGCATATAAGGGAACAAGGTCCAGGTCCAGTTCTTCCTGCCTTTCTCCTTCTCCCTCTCCTTCTTCTCCTGGACAAAGAGTTTGCTGGGTGTGAAATAGGTAAAATTCCTCTCAAGGCTTTATTGCCCATTGTTACCAGCCTGGTTAGCCCACCTGTCCCCAGGCAGAGGAGGTTCCCCTGGGGTGCCTTCTTTATAGGAAGACTGTGATCATCTGTAAAGTTATGGGATATGGACAGGACTTTGTAATATAAAGTACTAGGTGAGGCCAGCACTGTGGCACAGCAGGTAAAGTACCGCCTGCAGTGCCGGCATCCCATATGGGTGCTGATTTGAGTCCCAGCTGCTCCACTTCCAATCTGGCTCTCTGCTATGGCCTGGGAAAGCAGTAGAAAATGACCAAATTCCTTGGGCCCCTGCACCCTGCATGGGAGACCCGGAGGAAGCTCCTGTCTCCTGGCTTCAGATTGGCACAGCTCCAGCCATTGAAGCCAGTTGGGAAGTGAACCAGCAAATGGCGCTCTCTCCCTCTCTCTGCCTCTCCTCCTCTCTCTGTGTAACTCTGGCTTTCAAATAAAAAATCTTCTTTTAAAAAAGTACTGCACAGCTTCCAAGGTGTGTTTCCAAGACTGCTACATTCCTATCCACATGTGCTTTGTTTTCCTTAGGCCCCTGGTAACACACAGAGGCTAATTTCCAACTTCCTAAGCTAACATTCCTCCCTCAAGAGAAGTTACCCGTCATCTTATGGGGGTAGAGTAGGTGAAGGTCTAACTTGTGTATCTTCTAAAAGATGACATATGGAGGTACTGCTGCTTATGGATGTTCTTCTGTTGCTCTCTGTCCTATGCTGTTTGAGGTTGGCTCTGGTAAAGATTGTCCTGCATGGCCCAGAGGACTTGTCATATCATCCAGTGGGGTAGGCTGGAAGCCCTATCCCATGACCATCTGGAGCCGAATGGCTTTCATTCTGTTGGAGGCAAAACCAACAAGAGCATTGAAGACACGTGACCCAAAGAGCATCAGTAAGGGCATGGAAGCTTTAGTGCCAAGGAAGGGCAACAGCCAGTATTCCCATGACCGGATGTTAGGTGAAAAATCCCAGCTTTGATCAGCCTGGTCCTGGAATTACGTGGCCTTCCCCAAGAAAGGATGGCCATGTACCTGTGCAGCTTGATTCACCTGAAGGCAACATTCTTCCTGGAGCGTGGCACAGAAACCCCCTTGGGCAGCAGTTAGCACATCTAGGGTCTGCCTGTTTTGAAGGACTGAGTTTAGCCACCCTAGCACAGGGGCCCTCGTCATGACAGCTTTTAACTGGGCAAAGGCTGTGTTTGGTTCTTTCTCCCAAAGGAGGGGGCCCTGCTCTGGTTTGCTCTTGAGAGCCTGATGCAGAACCTGATCCAGGAGCTTCGCTCTGTCTCTCTAATATCTAGGGATCTACAACCCAATAATCTGAGAAATGCTGGAACTTTCTTAAGGGCTGTAGGACTAGGAATTTGCTCTGTGGCTTGTATCCTCTCTGGGGCTAGTCTTCTCTCCCCAGGGGTGAGGACAGTCCCTAAATAATTAACTTCCTGGAGGACTAGGTGTGCTTTCTCCTTGGATACCCAGTAGCCACATCCTGCTAGGAAGTCTTTCTGACCTCCAGGACTTGTCCTGGAAGTGACAAGCAGTGGCCCTGGCCACTGTGGGAGCTTAGTTACTATTATAGCTTAGTGTAGAAGTACAGCTTCTAAAACAGGAATAAGTTTCAAGCATCTCGATGGTGCTGGGCTGCTCTGGGCTTGACCTTTCCCAGCCAGACACAGTACAATGGAGATGATAAACCTGGTGCAATGGCACCTGATTTTCCTTGTTCCCAAGAAAGGACCTAAGTGGAATGGGTTGCCTGTTGCTCATCTGACAGCATGGTGCTTCCCTCCAGATGCTTGGCAAAATAAACCGATTAGGGTTACTTTGTTTCACCCTGTTCCTAGTTCTGCTACTGATCACCTTAAAGAGCTTCCTGGTATTTACCAAGTTTTCCTGTTATTGTTAGTGTTTGTTACTAAGAGTTAATGAGTAAGTCCTAGCAGCTCTGAGATCTCGGGGTAAAGAAGCTAAATAGTTTTGTGCATACCTTGCTTTGCTCTGATAGATTTAAGGAGTTTTAAACTAAGTGTTAAGTTTTGATGATACTGTATCTGTACTTGGATGATGTTAATGATTACCCCATTGTAGTTCAGTAAAAATGAAGAGCAAGAGAAAAAATATAGACTAGGGGTACAAAGGATAAAGGGCTATCTACCCCTGAGAAGATAGCACTGAACTAAAACTAGATGCTTGAGCCAACAGGGGAGGGAAGGGCATTCTAGTGAGAGAAACATGCAAGGGTACTGCAGTAGGATGTGGGTTTTTGAAATTCTTCCAATGTCAAGTGCAGTGGTGGGAATAGCATAGGGACAAAAAAAAAAAAGCCAGAAAGAATTTTTTTAAATGTATTGCTATATTTATTTGCAAAGAAAAGCAATACAGGAGAGACAAAGAGCTGTTCCATCTGTGGATTCAGGTTCACTCCCCAAAGAAGGCAGGGCCACGTGAAGCCAGGAACTGCTTCCTCGGCTCCCACGTGGGTGGCAGGGGCCCAAGTATTTGGGCCATCCTCTGCTGCCTTAGCAGGCGCATTAGCAGGAAGGAGTAGCTGGGACTCAAACTGGCACTCCCATATGGGGTGCCAGCATTGCATTGTGCGTGTAGCATTAATCCACTGCCCCTGCCCCAGCCAGCCAGAATTGAATAACAAAGCATCTGGCAAAGGAATTTAGCAAATAACCCACGGTCATTTTACACGACCAAGATCTTGCAGGTCTGCCTTTACTTCATTGTGTTGGACACACAGGTGGAGTAAGGCTACACAGATTGGAGTAGGGCTACAGAGGCCAGGAGACGCTCCCCTTCCCCCCCAAACGGGCTGTGCAGTGACCCAGGAAGAGGTAAGGAGGGCAGAGTCAGCGCGAATGTGAGAGCTACAGTTCCGGGCATGGTAGGGTGGAGGTCAGCGTGAAGCAGGACCAAGGGCTAGGGCTCTTCTTTTTTACCTTACGGGACAGAGGCGGTAGGAAGACAGGCGTCCTAAAGGGAAACGTGGATTCAGCCTTTAGAAAGAGGATTCTTAGGAGTCTGCAGGCTGCCGCAGGAGGGAGTGTGCACTAGGGAGCGGCTGGGGGTCTAGAATTTGGGGTTTGGATCTGGGTTTGCGCGGACGAGACTGTACAGGGTTGTATGGGGAAATGGCAAACCTAGAGAAAAACAAATGGAACATTTCAAGTGAAACCAGAGTCAACTTCACGGTATTTCTCCTCCCAAAGAATGGACTCTAAAACATCTTCCATTTCCCGAGACGCTCAAGACCCACCAGCGTGGGGAAAAGCTTTACGTTCAGGTGCAGGACCAGTGCCACCTAGAGCAGCCGAGAAAGCTCTTAGCTTTTCACTTCCACGCACCTGTAAGGTCGAAAACCCCCCAGCTTGGGATCGCGCGTAAGGGGCCCCCACCTTCTTTTCTACGGACTTAGCGAAACGGCGGCTCGGCGCTAAGCTTCACGTCATCACCGCGCGCCAGCCCATCTCCGTCTACGCCGTCGCGCCGCGCCGCGCCGCGCCGGACGTCATCACTAGGCGCCCCTCCCGCCTCGGGTGTTCAATTTTCAGTCGCAAGTCTTGCTCGTGTTCTACGACTGGAACTTCCTCGGGCCATGTTCCCGGCCGTTCCTTCTCCGCGGACCCCGGGTCCTGGGTCCCGAAGGGGCCCGCCGGCTGGAGTCGGGGCGGGTTCCACGCCCCGAACGGCCAGCCGGCGAGGTCTGTCTCTGGGCTCTGCGGTCAGCTCTCCCGCTCTCTTCTCTCCCGTAGGCCGGCGGAGCTCGCTGAGCTCGCGGTAGGTGGTCGCCCCGGGTTGGTTCCAGCGATTGGTAGGCTTCAGGTCGCGGTGGGCCCGTGAGGTGGGGATTCTGGAAACCTTGGGCACTAGGAGCAGCCGAGGGTCGGGGAAGTGGGCTGAATAGACCTTCTCGCGGCTTATTTTAGCGTCACGTGATTAACTTCATACGTTCGGGGAAAACTGGGGTTGGCTTTCATAAAGTTTCAGTTTATATGACATTTAGCATAAATGGGTCCATTTTGGTTTGTCTGTGTGTTGAGGGCCAGCTCAGGCGAATTCCAAAACCATGGTTCCCGTAACTTTCATTTAACAGTTTCTACTTAATGCTAAGGGTATTAGCGCTACTCACTATTACTATAATTCTGGCTTTCCAGTCTTATTTGAGAGTTACAGACAGAGAGGGAGAAACAGAGAGAGGTCTTCCATGGCTACGATGGCCAGAGCTGGGCCAGTCTAAAGCCAGGAGCTTTTTCCAGGGAGATTTTGGGTCATGTACTGCTTTCCCAGGCTGTAGCAGAGAGTTGGATCGGAAGAGCAGCCAGGACTCAAACGAGCACCCTATAGGATGCCGGCACTGCAGGCAGAGGCTTAGCCTACTGTGCCTCAGTGCTGGCCCCATTCTGTGTGATCTTGACATAGCAGTTCAGGAAGCCATTAGTTTGTTCATTAAAGTTCTAGAATTTCTTACCCAGTCCAGTGGTAGATTGTAGTTCCAGAAATTGACATTTGAGTCCTTTTGTAAATCTCTTTAAAGAAAAAGTAATACTGGACTGTGGCTCTTTGTAGATGCTTCAAAACCACTCTCTATGACAAATACTTAGAACAGCCATGACTGGAAATAGGACAGTTCATTATAACCAGCCATTTACAAAATGTAGTTCTTCCTATGATATTCATAAAAATCAGAGTTCAGACTGATAACACTAGATTTATAGGAATCTCATATAATTTTTGGAATACTCAAGTCAATAGGGTATCATAAATATAGCTTAAAGTTTAGCAGCACTTACAGTTTGGTAATGCTTCTAATGTAATTTAACATACAAGTATATCCCTTGTGACTTTGCAGAGATCCAACTGGAAAATCCCAAATTCAAGGTCAAAATCAAAAAGACTCCAGTTGGAGTTTTATTTGGGCATGTTTGTCAAAAATGTTAGAAGATTTAAAACATTTAATTAGATATGATTTTAGTGCTCTGTTTTATCAAGATGATGAAAGATTTTAAAGGCAAATACATTTTGCCTTTCATGACTGTGAACAGAAACTGTACTCATGAAGAAGACTCACACTTTTCTTAAATGGAGAAGCTGAGAGAAGCTTAAGGATCTGATGCCCAGTTTCCTAAGTCCTGAAAAATTTTTTTTATGGAAAAATACATTTAAATACACAGTGTACATAAGCCAGTGGTGTTTGTTTTTAAATATTAATTTATTTGAAAAGCAGAGTCAGGGAGGGAGGGAGAGAAAGAGATCTTCCATTCACCGATTCACTCCCCAAAATGGCCACAACAGCCAGAGCTAGGCTGCTCCAAAGCCATGAGCCAGAGTTTCTTCCAGGTCTCTCACATGGGTGCAGGGACTCATATGGGCCATGCTCTGCTGCTTTCCCAGACACATTAACAGGGAGCTGGATTGGAAGTGGAACAGCCGGAACTCGAACCAGCACCCATATGGGATGTCGGGGTCGCAGACAGCAGCTTTACCACCACAACACCGGCCCCAATCCAATGGTTTTTTTTCCACGGTTGCACTTCATGTTGTGTATCAAGATACCTCTGTTGTGTAAATCTAGATACAAATTAGGATAATGATCCATTGTATGTGATAAATGAAATAGTATGGTTTCTTTCCTTAGAGGAACGCCTACACGAATATTCCCACAGCACTCCATATCTGAGACTGTGAACTACGATGTCAAGACCTTTGGATCTTCTCTCCCTGTCAAAGTCATGGAAGCCCTAACGTTGGCTGAAGGTAGGCATCGTCTTTCCACTCGCCTCTGTTAGCAATTCTGATTGGAGCCCAGATCTGCCATGGAGATGGGCATTTGTGCTTCCTCTGATATACCTACACTTAAGCGAATAGAAATGGCTAGCTGTCTAGTGTTTCAACTGTAATTGAGATACGTAATGAATTTGAGAAGCAGTATGAGTTCATTGTGGCACAGTCACATTCAGTCTTAAGTGGCTTTAGGAACTGTATATGAATAGTTAGTCCAATTTGAAAAGTTGATCAGGTATATGAAGTTTAGTTTTTTAAAAAAAAAAGGAGTGCCATGCGTTACTTGGCAGTACAGTCAAGTCCTACCTCCATTTCTGGATCCTGTGTAGTACCCGAGAGGCTGTGTACACAAATTCATGAGGTTACCACTGTGATGTGCGTTCAAAAGGTTCTG